ACAGAGAGGAGGACCTTTAACTATAGAAGAGGCATCACAAGTAATTGATCAGATGGATGTTGATACGCAGGTAGCGGCCGAGTCGTCGAGAAGTGGTGGTCAAGGAAGTTCGGGTCGACCGAGGGTTTGGCACTGTGGGACTTGCGGCAAGGCTGGGCATAATGCAAGGACCTGTCAGGAGGTAATTGAGGTTAATATGGAAGAGTATAGTGACTGATTTTAATTGATCTAATAGGTTGTGGTGTTTTTATTGCTGATTTAATTGAGAAGGTTAGGATTTTTGGGACACTCGCTTATCTGGGACACTCGCTTATCAAATACGTTATCGTTATGGGCTTCTATCAGTTGATTGATAATCCAAACTCGTGGTATGGAGGATCGCGAAAGCCTCACTCTTTCCAGAAAAGGAAAATGAGTTCAGAATGAGTCGTGAAATGCGTTCTTAAGTGATTCTAAGCATTTAGTGTTCGCAAGTATATAAAAGACACCAGAAGTATGCCCAAATGGTATACACAGAAGTTCATCATCACAGTTCAAAAGCAATACGTAGATAGCAAAACCAAACGGTATGCTTCTCAGATGGAATATTTGGAAAAGGCTAAACAGAAACAGTACCAAACAGCCCACCACCAACATGTCTCGCTTCATTCCTCAACTTACTGGCGCCCATGCCCTCGTCACCGGCGGCACCAAGGGCATTGGAAGGGTCATCGTCGAGACTCTACTTAGTGAAGGTGTCAGCGTATCTTATTGCTCTCGCAATGTCCGAGGCGATGAATTCGCAAACTTCAAAGATGCCACTGACGGAGCACGAGCTGTTGGAACCAGCGTTGACATTTCCAGTGCCGCTTCGATCCAAGGCTGGGTCGAAGCCTCAGCCAAAGAGTTTGGAAGAATTGACCTCGTTGTTGCTAACGGTATTTATCTTTGACGAATCGTGTTGGTATTCCTGCTGATAATAATATAGCTTGTCCCAAGCATGTCAGCCCAAGCATTGACGACTGGGAAAAGAGCTTCCATGCCGATGTTCTTGGCCTCGTGAACCTTATCAACGCTTCCGAGCCTCATCTTGAGAAGCGCAACGGTACAGGCTCGATTATCGTGATCAGCTCTCTGGCTGGCTTCGAAGCTAGACATCCAGCAATCCGAGGACCATACACCACGCTCAAGCGCGCCCAGGCCACCTTGGCCAAGGACTTTGGACGATGGCTCGGACCTAAGGGTATCAGGATCAACACGATCGTTCCTGGCACCATCGATTCTCCTCCTGTTGACAAGCCGGATGGAACCGTGGAGTTGAGCCAGTTTCAGCAGATCATGGCGGCCAACCCTGACTTCCTCAAGAGTCTTATCGACTCTATTCCTCTTGGGAAGGTCGGACAGGCGCAGGATATCGCTAACGCGGTTGTCTTCCTCGGAAGCAGCCTCGGTAAGTATGTCAACGGAGTGAACTTGATTGTCGATGGTGGAATGTCTACGGCCCTCTAGGAGTCTAACCTGTTAAGTGCGACAATATGGCGTTCAACCAGATAGGTTTTGAGGAATTGAAACTTGGTGTCAGTTGGAAGTACAGTCTATGCTCTATAGTAAATATATATTGCTCCATGAGCAGCCCTTCTATGAGTATATGGAACTCTAAAAACAGCAATACACCATAAGAAAACAAGGAGTCGTGAACTCGCCTTTCTTCCTTTTGCTTCATCTATTGTCCAAATTTCACACGACCGTCCCATCAGTAGGGTTCTGTTCCGCTCCTTCTCTCCACACAACGATGACAATGCAGCCAACTGCCAAAGAGCAGATCAAAGCCAAGATAGACATCCACCACCCAAAGCCAATACTTGCCGTGGCGATTGGAGACACTACAGTGCCAACGGCAGCAAGAATGTTACGGACCAAGTTGAGATCAGCGACGACTGAAGCACCGACTCCCGGCTTGATATCAACAAGGAAAGGCATAACCGTTGCCGTAACAAGCATGAGACCCAGGCCGAACAAGAAAGCTCCGACAAGAGGAGCAATCCAAAACACCTTTTTCTCAATCAACCACCCGTAGATGATCAATCCAGCGGGGATAAAGCCAACGCCGTACCAAACTGTCTTGATTCTCTCGATGGGACGGATGGCACCATCATGAGTTGTCTGGTACTGGCGCAACTTGGCATCGCTCAGTTTGCCTCCGACGACGCTTCCGATGGCGTATCCGAGACAGTTGCTGATATAGCAAAGACCAATTTCGATGGCTGAGAAGTTGTAAGGTGCAGCAGCGTAAGCGTATGGAAGTGTCGTGTTGAAGCAGTACAGGCTTGCAAAGCAGATGCTCACATAGGCAATAGTCAGAGCAATAGAAGGAACCATCAAAAACTTCAGTTTAGGGAGTGGTGCGAGGGCATCGCGTTTGAGGACCTGGTGCCATAGCTTCGGCTGCTCAGTAGACGAGTTGACAAGTGTCTCGGGCAGAACCAACAGAGTGAGCATGGCAGAGATGAAGGTGAAAATGGCCATGAAGTACAAGTTTGCACGCCATCCAAGCCAGACTTGCAAAGCGCCACCAATGATGGGTGCAACCAAAGGTCCAATAAGTGTTCCCAGGTAAAACCAGCCCAAAGCTGATCCACGCTCGGTCGAGATGTAGATGTCGCTTATGACGCCGGCACCAACGCTTTGAGCAGATGAGCAGCCCATTGCTTCGATAAGTCGAAAGACGATGATCAGAGGCAGCGAGTTGGAAACTGCGCAGACAATCACCGCAACTGTTGAGATGAGGAAGCTTGAGACTAGAACTGGTCGACGGCCATACTGCTGGCTCAGGGTACTCCACCACAGCGGAGCAATAGCCAAGCCAAGAAGAAAGACAGTTGTAGTAAGTGCGACTTTTGTTTCGGTGGTGTGAAAGTAGTCGACAAGAGTTGTAAACGATGGGAAGAGAATGCATGAGGCAAATGGTGCTGTGAATGCAGACAGAGTTGTTATGGCGACGATTGCGTGCTTTTGCCAAGTGGAATGAGTAGTTGGGTCTTCTCGCCGAGTTACCAAGCAGAATCTATCAAACCATGTTTGGTAGAGTTGCTTGGGCTTTTCGTTGGAGGCAGTCTCCGACATCTTTCCTGAGCGATGAACAATGATAAAGCTTAAGAGTTGGTATGAGTAGGAAGAGTGATAGTTGATCTGAGACTGACATGAGGAGTAAGATGTAAGTAGAGCTAGGCAACTACGTCTGTTCATATATTAAAGCTGCCAGCAGTCATAAATCCTGTCCTGGCTTGATGATGCGATTCCGGGGTTTCGGGACTTTCAGCTATCGGAATTTCCCAAAATAATCCCGATGTTCTTGGGGACTGACCAATGACAGTCACATCTGGCTGGCTGAAATGCCTCTAAAATCTGACAAACATGCACCGTAAGCATGCTAAAACTTCATCAGCACACACTAAAGCTGCGGGTCTTTCTGATCAGGAAATTCTACTTAATACTTCCAGCGCCCGAAATCCCGATACCACGAACTCACGCATTTCACTCAACAAACATGAACAGAAGCTGCGTCAGTTGCGCCACGTCCAAGGTCCGATGCGACCTCGACAAGAAGGGTTTTCCGTGCTCGCGATGTCAACAGAAGAGCTCAACGTGCGTGAAAGCTGGCCGCAAGAAACGGACGAGGAAAACGACGCCCAGCATCGCCAGTTCAAACCCGTCGCCACAGGGGATCGCACAGCAAAATGAACCGCAGCCACCAGTCGAGCAGAATGTCGACTTTTCATTCTTTGACACATCATCCTTTGGCGAAATTGACTTTCTATCACAACTCGTTGACATCGAAAGCATGGTTGACATGAGTAGTTGGACATGGAGCCCTAGCGATATGACATCGCCCATTGGCGAAAACACCTTACCTGGCAACAATGATCTCTGGACGGGTATGAGAACAAATGACGGACTCGTCTGCCCGGATAACTTCCGACTTCCAGCCGACTTCCTTCTTGAGCTTGACGGCCCAGAGACCATCCCTGTGCATCGCCTTGAGACGCTGGCCAGGCTCTTCTTCTCGCACTTTCACTCTTCACTTCCACTATTGCATATTCCAACATTCTGTCTAGCTTCATCGCCTTCTGTTCTTATTCGAACAATTTGCTTTATCGGCGCAGGCTTTGAAAGAGATTCTATTTCTACGACGGAAGCAAAGTTACTCTACGGCTCTCTTCCATCACAGCTGGCCAAGTTCTGTCTTCGTTCCAACGGAAGCTCGCCAACCTTTCAAGAACTACAGGCTCTGGTACTGCTACAGTTTGCTGCTATGGCGAACGGAGGAAGTGTCGAAAGAGCTGCGTCTCGGCTCATACATCCGCTCCTCGTCGCAGCAATACGACACGAAGGTCTTCTCAAGGTTCACGGCGAATGTACCAAAGCTACACGCAATGCACACTTTTGGACATCGTGGATACAAAAAGAGTCAAACAAACGAGTGCTTTGGGGCGTGTATGCAGTTGACTGCTACCAGTCAATACTTTGTGGCAGTAAACCCATTCTATCCCCGACAGATACGAGGGCCTCTTTCCCATGCGACGATGCCAGCTGGACGGCTTGCTCTGCATCTCTATGGGCTGCACTACCAGCCCAAGATCCTTCTAGCTGTTTCCTGTCCTCCGTTAAAGGCCTCATGGGAGGCCATGCTCCTGCTGAGACAAATCTGACAGCCTTTGGGATGAATCTTTTGATCTTGGCAGTCAACTCGCTTTTGCTCGAAGCCCAAACGTCAATATTACCCGTCGATACTTCAGCTCTAGACTCGGCACTGCAGACCTGGTATGCGTCTTGGCAACAATTCCAAACGCAGTCCCAAGACACCAGCGATAGAAGGGCGAACTCTGTCCTCATCACGAACAGTTTGTCCTTGTACCGTTTAGGAGTCCACTTTCTCAGAAATGGACGGCCTCTTCTGTATGAACAGGCTTATCTGGAAAGTTCTACTGACACTCGGAACCCTCTCATTATCAAAGAGCAGGTATATCAAGACGAAATGATGAAATACGTGAGGGGAGTTCTTGACGCGTTTGTAGAAGCATAATTCCAAAATCTGAGACTTCGATAGCATAAAATGAAAGGATAAGGCGCCGAGAGCAAGGCTCTAGTATTAAATAAATACTCGAGAAAACTCGCTGCTTTTAATAGTAGGATGTTCTGAGAAACAGAGGATTCATATTGCAACGGATAAAAGTTAAGCTCTTCTGTCTTCTCTTAATGCAGCCGCTATCTCGTCGTAGGACGACGTCCGAATCACAGTACTAGCCACCCAGAGGTTGCTCGATCTACCGACTGCAGCAACGATGCGAGCAAAAGTTTGGGAGCTTAGGTAGCTCACGCCGCCCGTACAAATGATGAGACTCACGTCATGTAGCGCTTTGCGGAAACCTGCAGAGGGATCCTGGACCCCAGGTTCTCTACTCAACCAGCGTCGATCAAGCCGGCGTCCAAGGCGTAGCGAACAGCATGGTCTGCCTTGTCAATCCCTAACACCACGGGCTTGGGAGATCGTTCTCGACTCGCAAAGAACCCCCTGTCTGCCAGAGCCTGCTGCTTAGGATCGAGCTTCGAGCCCGTGTAATGACCGGTCCAAGTCTCTATGTCGACATAGTGTCGGAGCAGAGCTCCACTGATGCCCTATGAGCAGCACACGTCTAAGATTGCGGGAGCGGTCGTCCCCCGACAAAATAGTTGGTGAAGTCGCTGGAACAAAGGTAGTACTTGCTGTGGGATTGTGTATTGCAAGGGCGCTAAGGTTGTAAGATAACCACGCGGGTCTTGCTGGTTGTATAAGTCGGTAAAGTTTGCTTTCTGGGCGACAGCAGATTGCTGCTGGTTGTTTGCCATTGTGGGCTGCTATTCGTAGTTAATGGAAAGATGCAGGATCCGGTGGAGAAGCAGGTTATTTCCCCTCTTATATAACCGTCACTTTCACTTATGCAACTACGAGATATTATGGAAGCGTGGAGGTCACACCGTAAAGCATTCAATCATTATCTCAAAAGGCGCTGTTGCATTGATATGGTAGCCTCAACATGTATGCCAGGACCATGTAGGCTGGACCGGTGAGTATGCTGACGCTGTATCACCAGCTTATCCACTTGATAGGAAGTCACAATGACCGGCCAACGCATGCTAATAATATAATAATGTCTACAAAGCGAAGAACTCTGTTCTAGCTCCCTGTCGCCATGTGAAACTGAGGTCTGCAAAGAAACATAGTGCTTCTGCTTCAGTCGTACCATAATGACGCTACATCACAATGCAGCAGTCGTCGTCGCGTGGTGGAGGATTGCAAACAAAGCAGGCTCGATACGCTGCTCGCTTCGAACGGCCTGTACACGTAGGGCAAACATCTAAGGTTCCAAACAAAGCCCATTCTTAGTAAATCTGGTAGGTGCAAGATTAGAGACACGAGCACGTACGGTATTGGCACCATGGCGAGATCTTAGTGGTGAAGTGTTTGCGTGGTCTGTTGCACTGAGGGATAGCGCAAACCTGTGAGTACGGATTGTGCATTGTGTCGGTTTACCTGAACGATATTTCAACGTGAGATGCTAAAAGACGCTAAAGGGCAAGAAAAGAAGGAAGATACAGAGAAAGAAGGAGGACGCGAGAGACGGGGATTAAGTACCAAAGTCTTAACCGCCAGCCTGATTTCTTAATACGACCGAAAGCAGGCTCTCATGCGACTGAAAGTGCAAATAATCTCTCGTCAGCACATGTTTTGGGTATTCTCGCTCGTAATTTGCTAGCAGTCTGTTGTGGCGCTTCAAGACCGTATATCTGTCCCTAACGTGCAACCTTTGATACATCATGCCACCAACATGGTAGACCACCATTATGTGTCAGCTCAGACAACCAGGTCATCTCACCAGGTGGCCAGAGAAATTAAAGAGTAATATGGACTAAAGACGATAGAAATCAGGCGAGATTCGCAAGGGGGCCGAACATTGTGACTTATTACAAGCCACTCATAGTGAGTCCTGACATTCTTGGAGGGGGACGCATTTCCAACACTGACATTGATATGTGCCTTCCATCTGGTGCTCCACAGATTGTTGAAGGGTTGTGAGCATTGCACTTCTCGGCCGCAGGTAAGCCTTTATTATATTCACGTATCGCATTCGCAACCAAGGACTTAAGCTATTAAAAGTCCCGTATATACTTTGCATCACAACAAGATAACTTGATCAAGGCTTGTAATCTGACTGCATGTTCAAAATAAACAACCTTTGACAGAGTATCCAACATTGCTTCATAATACCTATTTCTCACCAATCAATGCCAGAGCAAAGTCCTTGTAGTCACCGCTCAGCACCGACTTGATATTCCCACTCAACGTAGCACCAGTCACTGGCTTATACGCCTGCTTTGTCTGATATAAGCGCCCCTGATCCCAGTAGAGACTGACGAGTCTGTTGATGAAGAGACGGTCCTTGCGCATCGACTTGTTCAGTGGCATACTGAGTCTGCCTGCATCAGATCGAGCTCGATCCTGTGCATGGTATAGTATCCGCAGCAGCACGTCTTCCATGTCACCGCGGAACTCCTTCTCAATAACACTCTCAAGACTGCGGTGATATTTGTGTTGATATGCATCGTTCATTGCACGAACTTGGGCGTCGTTGCTGCTGGTGAATATTTGGGCTACAGAAACAGCGTTGGCACCGATTGTACCCTCAGTGGCCCTCTGCAGTTCTGTAATCTTCTGGTCAATCTCGTGAGGAATCACTGGAGCATTATCCTCCGCTCGCCTGGCGGCAAGAACCATGCTGTAGAGTCGGTAGAGGGTATCGTCGACATCCTCCTTGATATCGACCAGAAGGTCTTTGCCTCGGAAACGCTTGTACTCGGCTGTAATAGCACGAATATCTGCATTTGAGCGGCAGAGAAGAACATCGTTCAACGCATCTTCATCGGTGCCAGCGCGGTTGAGAGCCTTTGACAGATTTTGAACGTCATTCTCCAATGGCCCGCGAATCAGAGCGAGAAGACATGTCTCAAAGTCGCCACGGGTCTCGCTTTCGATGTCCTTTGCGAGATCGCGCATGAAACGGCTATTGTAGTCCCGGACTAGCTGGGCCATAGTCCATGGATCAGCGTATTTGGGGCTGACGAGAACACGAATCAGAGCCTTTTCATCACAGCCCATTCCCTTCATGGCCTTTCGGAGAGCCTCCACGTCTGCTGCGGTGTCTACAGGCTTGACCCATGCCTTTTGGGCTGGGTCATAACCTGGCGATGCTGGCGTTGGAGGAACGTTTACTGGCGGCCCACTATATTGCTGCTGTCCAGGCTGCTGGTGCCATTGTTGACCTGGGTACGGTGGCTGCGGTTGTTGCTGACCAGGGTATGGAGGCTGGCCTTGCTGAGGACCGCCGTATTGATGGGGAGGATACTGTCCCTGTCCATAAGGAGCCGGAGGAGGCTGTTGCCCGTAAGGCGCTTGGTGTCCGGGGGCTTGCTGGCCGTAAGGAGGCTGTTGTGGATAGGCTTGTGAATGCTGCTGATATTGGCCTTGCTGACCTGGAGGAGGGTATTGTTGGCCTGCAGGAGGATATGGCTGATTTGGCTGTCCTCCAGGTGGGCCTTGCTGCTGGTAGCCGTAAGGCGGTTGTTGGCCTGGAGGTGGCTGGTAGTAGCCCTGGCCAGGCTGCTGCTGTCCCGGATAGCCCGGCTGAGGGGGCGCGCCGCCCTGGGAACCTTGCCAGTAAGGAGGTTGCGACATTTAGGTAGTGAATAGACTGTTTAACCTTCAATTAAGCGATGTTTGGAAGTTGATGCTGATGCACGCAAAGTCTTGGACCTGTTCAGCCCTATTAAACTAAATCTGACAGGCGGGGGATCGCAGCGTGGAGGCCTCTTCCTGGTTGCCTCCCACTATCATCTTAGCGGTCGTGCTACCGCAATCCGGCGTTGATGCCTCACTGGCGTCTTGCAAGTGGCTGTGTCGCCATTAGGCTGATTGCTATCGAGACCTAATATGACCCGATCCCCGTTGATCTATCCGATAAAGAGAAGGTGCGGGGCAAACAAGGCAGAACGGGCTGTTTGTGGCTTGCAAGTAGGATTGGTTGAAGAAGGCTATGAGGATTGGAAAAGGAACGATCGTCGCATGTGCATTCAATCAATCAATTGTATGGTCAATAACAGACGGAATGGGAGCTTGCGATTATCTGGGCGCAGTGATATGGAGCCTTGTTGATTGAAGTGTCTTGGCGATTTAGAGCCCTGCTACAAGGCACTTGAGCGAAACGTCACCTGATTGCTAGCGGGGACATGTGAGCACAGAAGATTATTTCTCAAGGCTTGCCTACTTTGCCTCTCCAATGGAAGTGGATTAGACAAAAATGGTTTCAAGAACATAGATACCTTGTCAATTATTTCAGGGTGTTATAAAGCAGATTATTGAGTCCAGCAAAGAAGCCAGAGTTGGAAAAGAACAGGTCGAATGACATCCAGATCATGACCAACTTCGGGGCTCAGCAGAGACATGTTCTCTCGTCCAAGTATATGGGACTAAGTACTATCGGAAGAGTACGATAGAGCACAAAGAAGATTAAAAGAGGATGAGTTACAGTTGAGCCCACAGCCTCAGCTACATATTGCAAAGTCGAGCACAGCCAATCGCATTTTCTGTGCGGTTCTCAAGACTCATATATTGTTTCAGGGATGGGGAATGACTTATATGCATATGAATACCATCATTTCTCCTCTTTCCGCGCAAACATGTAAGTCGTTCAAACTTGCCCACGCAATGCTCATACTGATGCGAACTGTATCGTATAGCGCTTAACCATCCAAGCTTGGCAGCTTAGAAAAGCAGACCCAGGGAAGTCATACTCTGGCGACCGAATCGCAACACATGGGGAATGGCTTGCGGATTGCGAGATGAATTACAAGTTCTGTCGGCTAGCTGTTAAGCGATACCCGACACGTGTCCTGATGAGCCATATACGAACGACAAGCGAAACTGATATCGTTGGGTTTCAGTCTACTCGAGGAGAGACTTTACTTTTCTTGGCGACACAATTGTTGCAATAGCTGGGATTACGTCCTATTACCAGCAAATATCAGCCCTCACATCATTGCTTGGCGCTTGGAAAGAAGCATTCATAGATGATCTTCTCTGTATGCGCTTTAGGCCGAACAAATCAGCCCGGCTTGTTGGTGACCCATCGTGGTCACGGCTATCCTGTAATGTATACATTACTTGGGATTTCCTTCAGGTATCCTCACTGGAACGCTTGCACTCTGCAGATGATCATATCACGGTATTGGCCTGTGATGTTACTTGGGATTTCTTACCTTATGTTCCAAAGATTCAGTCTTCGATGGTAATCCTGAGAGGACCCTCAAGCAACTCTGTCTGCGATTTGGTCCTGAAAGCTGGTCTGATCCCCCACTTTTGGAATTGGAAGGCCAAGAGTTGGATCTCTGATGGCGATACCTCGGTATTGGGAGGGACAATTCGGTGATGACCGGGAAGAGTTCACGAGCTATACGCGTTTACATGCTCGATCAGCAGAACGACAGAAGGGGGGTAACAAAGAGGAAGTATATCTGATCTTGAAGCTGATGGAGGATGCATCGGATGATATGGAAGGCAGCCTACCAACATATCGTCGCATTGTCATTGTTGCAAACCAGGGCAAATCTGGTCTGGCTGGAGAGAAGATATTCATTCTCCGTTGATGTATTTTAGACCACTTGAATGCAATTTTTACTTCCCATTGTCACCTTTTGTCAAAATCCTGTCGATGGATGTCACACCAGCCAGAATTTGATAAGTTTATCAAGCCACGCACTTGTACCTGGCGTGGCTGCATTAGCCAACTAACGTTAATTAGCCAAGGCAATTGTTGACCGCTCAACCTCGGGACCCTCCTGAAATCAAAAACACCATTCAACTAGATTCCCAAGCTGAGTAATCGGTCTCCATCAATCACATCACCCCGAGGATGGCTCCGTTGACCCGTTCGCCTCACCCAATTCGCAAGGTGGGGGGAGCTACCTCTCACCCCCGCTCCGTACCGTTATATAAATGCTAGCTACCCCTCGATTTTAGCTGCCGAGGCCGTTTCACCGAAACAATTATCGCCAAAAACTTCACTCAAATCACTTTTTTGTATATCAAAATGGCTCAAGTCCTCGTTGTCTATCCTTCCGGTCCTTCTTTCGACCTGGATTATTATCTCACAAAGCACATGCCTCTCGTCGCATCGTAAGTGGGACCCGATCTGACATACCACCAGAATTCGATGCAATTACTAATGCCTCTGCAGCAAATGGGGTTCCCACGGTCTCAAGAACTACAAGATTCTTACCTTCCAGGAGGGTGCGCCCTTCCAGGTCCAGGCTACTCTTGAGTGGGAGAGCCTTGAGGTGTTTGAGAAGGCTGCTGCTAGCGAGGCGGCCGCTGCTGTCTTTGGCGATATCAAGAACTTCTACGATGGAAACCCTGTGCTGCTGAAGGGGCCTGTTGTTGCTAGCGAGACTGTTGCGTCATCGTAAGAGTTTAATGAATATACTGCTATGCAGACCCTTTGATCTGACCATTTGCCAGCGAATCCAAATTATAAAGTCGATTCTGGTGTCAATTGGGACAGCTGATGATCTGGCGGACATGGAACTCCGCGGCCGCCGAGTATCGAGGAAACGTGTACATATCGATAATCTAATGCGATTCCGTGAGACATTCCGTGGAACCAAGGTATCTTGTCAGAATTGACCAGTTATCGAATCAAGATTTGTTCAATGTCGATCGATTTGTGACACCTCATCTTTCGTCGTATTGCGTATTGCGGACCCGGTTCCGCATGTACTCATCCATCATCCCGCTCTGACTTGATTGATTCTCTCAACACTAATTGATCAGGTGATTCAGTCATAGGCACAGTCTTAATCATATTCGCATTTATTATCACGGGAGAAATAGTGATACGATATTCTAAACCAGATTTATGCGGCCCGATAAGTCCTGGCAGCCGGGTTTCCCGGAAATTCGGTCTCAGCTGATTCGCATCCCGAAATTGCTCCTCAGAGATATCTCCTGATTTAAACCATGAAGACAACATATGACAGACTTGAGGATTGTTGAATCGAGAGTTCTTTAATCTGACTTCGTAGCAGAGAAAGCTTTTAGACTTCGTGAGTTTCATTTGACTTCATGGAGTCGGTGAGTCATAAAATCCTCTGAATGGAAACAGGTAAGAATCATACACCCTGCCTACTCGCATGAGCAGAAAGTCTAGTTCTGTCTTCCTCTGGCCGTCAGACATTCGATGTTGACATAAAGGCAAAATGGCTAAACGCCATGGCCATGATGTGATGTCAAGATTCAGAGGCGTCCTTATCGCCCGCTATCAACGCTAATCGGGCCGTCGATGACCACTCTCTAAACTATTTCTGGTTAAGCTCGACCATGACAGCAGCTCAATTGCGTCAATTTTCAGTGACGCAACCTCAAATTCGAGATCGACATTTTGAATTTGACATTTTCAACATCACATCCACCAAAAATGTCTTCAACAAAAGCGCCCGAGCTCGAGCTCGCGCCGTTCCTCAAATCAGCGCTACCCCAAGAAAACAGAGCTTCATTGCGGGACTCGGTCATTCCTCAGCTTTTAAGCGCTATTGCAGATATTGGCAAAGGGCTAAGAGGATCATATGATGTTTCCATCGTCGGCACAGAGAATGCTTTTGGTGATGAGCAGCTGAACGTTGATGTTCTGGCCGAGAACATTATTCGTGACAGTATTGCTAAGTCATCAGCTATCAAAACTGCCAGCAGTGAAGAGGACCCTGTCGAGAAGCCAGCTCGCGCAGGAGAGACAACGCAGGCTGATAGCAGTGCTGAGCAATACACTGTTGCTTTCGATCCTCTTGATGGAAGCTCTATCATCGGACCCAACTGGTCCGTGGGTACAATTGTCGGCATCTGGGACGGCGTGACTGCAGTTGGGCAACCTACAGAGAAACAAATCGCCTCTGTTCTTGGAGTATTCGGTCCACGAACCCTCGCCATTGTTGCCCTTCGAGTCCCAGGATCTAAGCCTGTATGCTTCGAAGTCAGCCTCAACGACACCCAAAGGTTCGTCGTGGCGCGACCTGAGCTTCGACTCGCTGAGCCTCCCTTCAAAACACGCTACTTTGCACCCGCCAACCTCCGAGCCGCCGCCGAGAATGAGAAGTACATGAACCTTGTGACAAAGTTCATCACTGACAAGTACACTCTACGGTACTCGGGGGGTCTCATCCCTGATATCTATCATGCTTTAGTCAAGGGTCACGGCGTGTACATCTCACCAGTAACTTCTGCTAGCAAGGCTAAGCTGCGAAGACTTTACGAGCTGCTTCCTGTAGCGCTCGTTGTCGAGTGCGCAGGTGGACAGGCCATTGACCCTGAGACGGGTGCGAGAGTATTTGATACTATATTGAAGGGGTGTGATGATAGAGCTGGGTTGGTTTGTGGAACTTCGGAGGAGGTTGAGAAAGTGAAAAAGGCACTGTTGGGATAGGTTACAGATTGGAAGCATAAACGTTCGGTTCGTTTGTGAACATCGGGTATGAGATCAATAGACAGCATTCATCAATTTATTGGGCTCCCTATGTGAAACACTCAAGCTGCTCCATTCGACGCCTTTGCAATGTTGGGAAAGTTTGGGCTCGTGACCTTGACAACATCTCCCTGCGCCAAAGGCTGCCAAACAGCGTAGTAAATGCTCGTTCTATCTAGTAGCGGTTCCACCTCGAGTGCATCAGGAAAGACATCCGCGACGGAGCCTTCACGCGCAATATCCTCGACCTCTTCACGCATGGCCTCATGATCACCATCTTCCGGCTTGGGGAACGACATGTGAACAGAGATCATCTTATCCTCTGGTCGGTGTAGAAGCCAAAACGAGCCAGCTCCTCTTCTCTCGGCTGCATCTTTGAGAACAGGATACAGCTGCTTCAAGATGGCTTCGACACCGACATGGTGGTAAGTCCAACGCTGGAAACGACCGATGCCATGCTCTTCGACTGGAGTGAAGTTATGAGCACCGATGACGTTCCAAACAAAAGTATCAACATGCTTGAACAAAGGTTGTTTCCAATAGGTCGTCTTTGGCTCGCCCACTTCGAATTCATTTGTTGTCCAGTCCTCGAAGCCTTTTGCATTCTCAACCGTGTCGAAGAGATAGCAGCCTCCCGTGAGCATATCGCCGTTGATAGGGTGATACTTCGTAGGTAGGTACTTGATGTACATGCCTGGACGCTTTCCCATCACTTGAGCGCCGGCATACTGACCCTGCCAAATGTCTTCAAGGCCGACCCGGGGAGCAATCTTGATTTCGGCAGTAAACGCACCTCTGGCGTTGATGTTGCCGACGCCGTAGCTGAGGCCTTGATTATTGGTTTCGGTGGCTGGTCATGTCAGATGTGAGATCAAATGAGGGGTATGCCAACTCACCCATTTTTGTGTGTAAATTGCATGAATTCTTCGAGCTGTATCCACTATTGACTCAGAGGAAGGTTTCGAGAAAATGACTTCCCGGAACAGTAGTTCTTATACTGCTCTGAAGGTTGGGCACTATTATCAAGTGCTTAGTCGAACGAATGAAGTTTGGTAATGATGACGTTGTAGAATCACGAGGCTGAAGCCAATCACTGTCTGGACTCCATCGATTCTTACTAAGACGGTACGCCTTCAGCCTCAAAGCATTGGTCGCCGTCTGAACACGGAAGTTCTAGTCCAGAATCTGACGTGAGCTAGTATGGCCGCTAGTACTTCATTTATGAGTAACAAAGTCTCTCTCACTTATGGGATTCTGAACATTGATACGCAATATGAAGCATGAACTTTGCCCTCTTTTCTTGGGCCAGGCGGAAAGGGCGTACTCCAGTGGGAAGTTTCTTCTAGTGTAGGAGATATCAGAGATATAGGCTGGAAGCTTAAACTTGTTGGCAAATCTTCAATCATTTGATCCTTCTGACATCTTCGTGTAGAAGATTTGGAATTGGTCCAAGGTTAAGAAGTATTTATCGGCATGGGAATTACCTGAAATCATGGAGCGGTAAGAGATATGGAGAGGGAAGCAAACGAGGAAACAACCACAGAGATAATTCTACAGAGCATTAACGTGTAGGTAGCAGCGATGAGTTGTAATGCAAACAACTCAGCTACTCCGGAGACTCACAACGACCTGGGCCGTTTATGACTAGCTCGTATTCCCCGTGCTTGCTTTGCGGGTCGGCACTTATGATTTCCTATAAGTGACAAGGAACTGTCGGTTAATATATCTTTACGAGTATAGAGAGTTGAGCGATTGGACAGAGGAATCTCCTGAACATATGATCACACCGCTTCGGCCTATCTCTCCCCGAATCATCGGTTTACTAACTTCATCAAGGAATGGATGAGCCACCTTGAATCCCCCAATTTCCAAGATGCCCCCAAATACTTCCTTTGAAACGTCTCCGAGATGATGTCCACCAGTGAAACAGCGATTTTCTGAAAGGGGTAATATCGTCTCATTGGTGGAAATACCCCACATCCTTAACCTCGTCGTCCCCTTCGGAGTGGACCAATCCGTACGCCCCATCTAGGAAATTACATGTAGTGCGTTTCTTTATACATAAAATAATAGACAAATCCATCGAAAATGAAGAATTGTCACAGCATTCTAATCATTGGATCTCGCAAATATGGTTGTTATTAAGCTTACCCCCGCAATTGTCCTAGCCTTCCTGGCTGGTGCCAACGCTAAGGATATCTTTGTATCTCCTACTGGTACTGGCTCTGGTACTCTTGCTGCACCATATGGATCGATCCAGTCTGCCATTGATGCTGCCAAGGCTGGTGACTTTATCTATCTGAGAAAGGGTACTTATGCTCCTTCGAAGAACATTCAGGTCAAGACGAGTGGTGCGAAGGGAAGTCCCATTACTGTGAAGCCTTATCAGAATGAGAAGGTTATCATCGATGGAGAGAACATGCCTGGGTAAGTGACAACTACAATGGAGAGTGTGGCAAGACTAACATGATGCAGTACACCAAAGGCTGTTGGCGAGTCGCTCCCCAACGCTGAGCGTGGCGTCTTCCATATCCAAAATGCTGAGTGGTGGTCTTTCTATAATCTCGAGTAAGTTCAACTTGAACCTCAAAGATTCGAATGCTTAGATTTCACAGGATCATCAATGGCCCTTATGGTATCTATGCCAGAGACGCCTCCAACAACTACTACGAAGGTCTCTCCACTCATGACAACTATGAGACCGGCTTCCAGCTCGAGGGCGCTTCCTCCAACAACCAAGTCATCAACCTCGACTCTTACCGTAACCGTGACCCCCGCAAGAACGGTGAGAGTGCCGACGGCTTCGCTTGCAAAGACGGTCAAGGTGAAGGCAATGTCCTCCGCAATGCCCGTCTATGGGACAACGTTGACGATGGTCTGGACCTGTACATGTTCGGCTCGCCCGTGACACTCGATGAGGTCTACGCCTGGGGCAACGGTTTTAACCGCTGGAGTTTCACGCCCTTCGAAGGTGACGGCAACGGTTTCAAGCTTGGCATCACCAACAACCCTCCCGCGAACCATATCGTCAAGAACTGCATCGCCTTCCAGAACGCCAAGAAGGGCTTCATCGATAACGGAAACCCTGGCTCTCTGACCTTTAACCGTAACACTGCTTGGAAGAACGGCGACAACGGTTTCAACCTGCGCAGCTCTTCGTCCAAGGTCACCAAGAACGTTGCTGCCAGCAACACTGGTGATCAGGTTAGCTTGAATAGCAAGGTTTCTGCGTCTGGAAACTCGTGGGATAGCAAAGATACCTGGAATGATGCCTCTTTCAAGAGCACGGATGCGTCCACGCTCAAGGGTGCTCGTGGAACTGATGGACGTGTCAAGGCTAGCGATTTCTTGATTCCTGCTTCTGGAGCTGCCATTGGCGCTACTACCAAGGCCAAGGTCTGAGAAATGACCTTGAAACTTTGTACATAATTCTTAGTATACTTCTATTCACTATGACCCTTTTTCATGTCGTCTTGCGTGAGCTCAGTCAGTCAAGAAAATAAATGCGAGACCTCAAATGTTTGTCGACCACGCCTGGGTTGGAATGCAGCACAAACAAATACAGTTTACAATTTTGACCTCCGATCCTTATGCCATCTATCATCAACAATTGCCTCCTTTGCGTAATCCTCATTAAGCTCATCCTGTTTTCTTACTCATACCCTCAATGATACCGTTTTCATGCATTTCCTTAGTCTTATTCTACAATATTCCGTTCATCATCTCCTGTCACATCAAGACTCAGTGAATGAGTGAATCAGTTACGTCCCCTGCGGTAATTATTTGTCAGTGATACTCCCGTTAAATCTGGTAGCACTACTCACAGAATCTCATCAAAGTAAGGATGGTTCAGGGCCGCTTTGGCAGAAATGCGAGTTACAGGATCGCAGATGAGCATGTAGTCAAGTAGCTCTAGGCCAGCCTCATCCAGGTTCGGGCAAAGAGGAGTAGAGAAATCTCGCTGCCACTTGGGGAAAGACGGCTTAAAATCTGGGTACGTGGTGACACCAGGCCAGGCGTCTTCATCGGGTGTTCCGAGGGTCCTGCCAAGATAAGTACTCGTCCTCAAGGATCTAGGTCGGGGTTGACTCACCGGAAGATCTTGAAGATCTCATCGATTTCGGAATCACCAGGGAAAAGGGGCTTTCGGGAACACATCTCAGCAAAGATGGTACCGACAGACCACATATCAACACCAGTCGAATACTGTCGTCCACCAAGCAAGACCTCGGGTGCGCGATACCACAGCGTAACAACTTCATGGGTATAACTTCTCAAAGGAACACCAAATGCTCTCGCCAAACCAAAATCAGCCAATTTGAGATTTCCATCCTTATCAATGAGCAAGTTCTGTGGCTTCAAGTCGCGATGCAATATCCGACGCGAGTGACAATATTTAATACCCTGGACCAGATCCAGCATAAACTTCTGCACGACCTTCTCATCCATTCCCAAGTTTCGCACGGTAGTAGCAGTTCCGGTGGGAAGAGGCTTTCCACGACCGCCGTCTGTGACGGGGAGCGAGTCCATGTACTTTTTAAGATCAAGGTCGAGGAATTCCATGACGAGGTAGAGCTTGTGGCCGTCGGCGTGAACAATATTCAGGAGGCTGACGACGTTTGGGTGGTTAAGTTCTCTCAGGACGGAAATCTCACGGATGGCGGTGCTGGGAACGCCTTCGTCTTCGGTCTCGAGACGGATCTTTTTGAGAGCGACGATGCGGCCATTGTGGCTGAGATCACGGGCTTTGTAGACAACACCATAAGTACCTGAGAAGGGTCAGTAAATATGTATCAGACATGTCACGGGTGTTCAGACCTTCTCCGACTTTTTCTATCCTCTGATAGTTATCCATGTTGGGTTCTGGTGGGGTCTGCTGAGATGAGGATAAGGCGATGAGGCGATGAGGCTGTGGATAGTGAGTGGGAATAGAGTTTGTCGCGGTGGATTTATGTTGTATGCGATAAACTGACTGCTCGTTGGCCTATGAAATTACTTGTTATATCTCGGTCATGCGATGTTGCTGCTCCTTGTCTGTCCTCTTCTGTTTGTTTTGTGTCCCTCGTCAATTGAAAATTCGATGCATTGACGGATCATTTTCCTCCCGACGCGCGCGTTGGCTCTGTTTTTTTTTTATTGTTGCGGGGACAACTAACGCAACGCGTCTTTCTGTTTGTCTCCGCATCAACTCACTATGAATCACTCACTCACTGTCTCATGATAGATCGTTTGGGGGTAGTCCTGGTGTTTTCATTCGACTTTCTTTATTTTCATCTCATTACTAACACCACTGGCTGTTCAATCTGTTCCTTGCGCACATCCTTGAAGCCGTCACCCTCACTGCTGACTTTGTTCGTCCCTGGAGTGGCGATGAGTAAAATCTCATCCACCAAAACAAATGAGTTGAGATGAAGGACGCGACCGACGTCGCATGCTATCAATCTGATCAGTCAGTGTTTTGGCGATGAAAAATGAATGGTCTCAAAAGGCTCGCAATTTCCAATGAGATAGCCTGAGCAACTGAGAGGTGCATAAAACGGTTTTGAGATCATGACACGACCCTCAAATGACTTGGCAGGCTCGGCTCTATGAATGAGGTGGTCTAACTCGCTGAGTTATCGGCGTCAGTGCATGTTTAGCGCTGTGTTGGCTTCCACAACAGTGACTCAATCCCTGTAACGCAGTTCAGCTCTCATCATGGCCCACCAAACTATTGCCTGTAGTGTACGCCAAAGCCAATATTTCACCTGTGGCCCGCAGGCGCAAGGCTTGGCATATTTCCCCCCTGATGGAAAATAACCGTAAATTTTAACTCATCAGGAGCCCCAATCCCTCGTTGCCTTGTCTAGATTTATTCTTAGTCAATCTACATCGATCTTTCATTCTTGTGCTCACTTTGCACTGTCCATTCGCTACAGTTTAGTCATGGCTCGTCAATTGGTCGCAATTCTGGCTGCTGCTGCTGCTTTTAGCGGTGTTAGCGCTGGCCCTTGCAAGCCTGCTTCTTCACTCGCCTTGTCGTCAACAATTCTTGCCGAGACAACTACAACTGCCACTTCTCACGAGACTGCTTCGTCTACCATCACCGCCGACGTGACCGAGACCACTGGTGCTTTCGATACCACTGTCACCGACGCTACCATCACCGGTAGCACGACAGACACTGCGACGGCCGGGTCTATCACCACTTTTCTCACTACTACTACAACCGAACAATCTCCTGAGCAATCTACCACCACCACCACTGCTGGTCCCGTTGGGCCAGGTCCTTGTCTTGAAGAGCAGGTCCTTTACAACCCCAGCTTCGATGATAACAATAATGCTTGGCCCTGGGATCTCAACAGTGGCGTCCAAGTCTCTTCATTGAATCCGCGCTCCCCCTCCTACTGCCTGTGAGTTGTCCTTTTCCTCCACGACTCCTCTATAAACTATACTGACAGCGCATGAATCAGCTTCAACACCCCCACGTCAAGCGACCGAGTCACCACGTTCTCCCAAGCTCTCCCCGCCTTGGGAGACTACGAATATGAGTTGGTGTACTACATCACCATGCAGAATTCTGAAGTCAATGGCCTCGACTTCTCCTGCTATGCTAACGCCTTCGTCAATGGAAAAAGGATGCGGGAAAGCGGAAGCTTTGATCAATCTGGCCCCTTCACATATCAGCGAGTGAGCGAGGTCTTCACGCCACAGAACTCTCATGAAGCTGGGGAACTGCGTTTCGAGATCCAGTGCGATGGCGAATTCGAGTATGCGGATATGGCTGTTGACGATGTCAGTCTTACTCGTCGTTGCAGCGCGTGATCGAGACTTAGAAGGACTAAACGAACTCATCTTCAAAATGTTCCTTTAGTTTATACCCACGAGATATTTGTCAATGCATCTTGTGATGATGAGGGTTTCGTTAAGCTTGATGGCCTTTGCTTGGCTTTGACTTGAGCAAATAACATCCCATGTGTAAATTATTAGATCATATATACAATACATCAGTCAATCTATGCCTACCCAAATACCATGGCACAAAAGTGACGGTAGCTCTGCTCTCGTGGTTCCTTCCATTTGACACCAAAATGCATCAATAACAATTAACGCCTCATTAAATCCAATACACCTCGCATAATGCTTCCCTGTTTATTATTTTCCGAATCAAATATTGAGATTTGCAGTGACGTCCCTAAAAATGTACGGCTGTTGCCGCTGTATTGGGCGTGGGGTAGGATCTGGCCCCTCTGGATGAAGCTTCTTCACCCTCTGCCAGTGATGCAAGAGATGCTTCTCGAAATAGTTCTTGCGGTCATAGACGTAAGGCACCCGTTCAGGACCATTGCAGAACAAGCATTCGAGGCCGCCCCTGTGGTTGCGTAGACCTCCCAGACCTTGGCGTAGAGAACGCAGGCGCTCCCATTCAGAGATGAACTCGACGAGCTCAAATGGCATCGAATCACCCCAGTCGGGAGGGTCTTGAGGAAGGTTGAGATCAATTTGGACCCATGGGTGAAAATTGTTGGCTTCCGCGGTGGCAGGTTCCGGCTGATGTGTTGATGCGGCTGTTGAGGTTTGTTGGGTGCTCTCCGGTGGTTCTGAGTTTAGCTTATCCCGCTTATCACGGGACGAGCGAGACTCAGGCTCAGCTTGTTGATTAGAAGTTGTTTGCGCGGATGGCTGTGATGCCGGGGGTGCTGAAGACTCTGGCCGGGGAGGCAAGGCCCGTTGTTCATGGGGGCTTACCACTGGTTGTATCGGTGAGGGCCCAGGTCCCGCGGCTGGTTCAACTTGGCGAAGCGGGGCTGGGTGATAGGCTGCTGCAGGTGTTGATTGTTGGGGTTGTGCCTGAGAGAATCCCGGTGGCGAGCCAGCACCAGTTTGCCGGAGTTGAGGAAGCTGGGGTGGATGGACTGCGGCAGAAGGTGGTTCGTGGTGCTGCATTATGCTGGGAATAGTTGAATAGGGGTTATAAGAAGGCTGATACGGCCGTTCTGGTGGCCTATTACTCGATACTAAGGGTGGCAGTAGGCTCGGATCTTGTTGTAGTTGTTGGCCGATAGCCGCGAGTGGCCGTGGAGGAGGAAGATTCGAAACCTGGGTTGATTGTTGGTTCCAGTGTGGTGAGGGGTAAGGCCGAGATGCGTTATGAGTTGACGGTAGGTAGGGAGGTCGTTGTTCGTTTTGTGTATGACCAGACGCTGATCGAGAGTGGTTTGAGGGCGCGGATTGATAATGAGACGAAGAAGGCCGCTCAGCAGAAGCCCCGGCCTGTTGTGCCTGCGCTTGGCCATTCTGATATGGGGTTGGCCACTCGTGGCTAGTACGGAGAGGCGCCGTATGTTGAACAGCTTGCTGTGAGGCGACTGTTGGTACATTTGGGAACTGGCCCACGTGTGGTGGAGGCTGTGTTGGAGGAGTGGCATACGGGCTGGAAAAAGATAGACGCGTTGTATGTGATGTCTGGTTGTGAGTTTGGGCAGAAGAGATGGGGGGAGAAGACTGCGGAAGTGGCGGCAGCACCTGGTTACGGTTGTTCTGCGGAGATTCATGCAAATGTCTGTGCATCAGGTGTGAAAGAGAAGGAGTACGCTGAGTAGATCTCTCAATCGGTTGAGTTTGCGCCTGCGTGTCATACTGCTGAGTTGGGGCTGGCTGATGAGCAGCATGATATTGTTGGACGGGCTGTGGCTGTTGATATTGCACCGAAGGCTGTTGTTGATCAGGTTGTGGCGGCTGATTATACGGCTGCGCTGGAGGGTGTTGCGCCTGGTACTGCGTATTTTGATAATGCGAAGGAGCCGCTTGCTGAGGAGGATATTGCTGTTGTACATCAGGTCGCGGATACTGAACCGGAGGTGCAGTGGACATAGGGGAAGCATGCGATTGCTGACTTGGCTGATATTGATTCTGAGGTGACTGTTGGGGATCGTGTGTTTGCTGCAATCGCCCTTGCGTATGCCAGTACTGGGTGGTGGGAGGAGGCTCCGGTATCCGTGGTGTCTGATCATGACTTGGTCGCCGAGATAAGCTTTCTGGGTGACTGGGTGTAGCACTCATGTACTCAGTCAGGAGCTGTTGTTGAGAAGCCTGCGCTTGTCGTGGCTGGGGCTGTTGTAGATGTGAATGCTGCTCCGGAGGTGGCTGGCGATATGGTTGGCCTATTGGACTCGACCCTGCGCTGTATCGAGGGCGTGATGAATAGCTATCGATGTCCATGGGCCCTGGCAACGACTGGGCTGGCGGGGTTGGAAGTGATCCAGAGCCGAGCTGCCTACCGATGCTCCGGTTCGGGTTTACCATTTGTGCTTGGTGCTGCTCTGGCAGAGACGTGTTTGTCACAGCTGGGCTGTAGAGTGGTGCACGTGTTCTCTCTACATCCCCTTGCACGGGCCTATGTGTCGAGTCATAAGATCTCCGGTCCCACGCCTGTCCAACCGACGAATTCGATGGTTCATCCCGCCTCAGTGCCGCCAGCGCGATGTCAACCGCTCTTAGTCGATCTGCGTCGGTACGTTGGGCTGCTGTCGTTCGTTGCTGGCTGGTGGTTAAGTCTTCTTCCAGAGCGGCAGTCAACTGTTGGAGAACTTGGGCACGGGAAGCCCGTTGCGATAAGGTACGTGCAGCAGCGGCATTGTCTTCAGCAGCACCGTCTGATTCATCGTCTGAAATGTCAATGACGATAATGGGCTTTTCCTCCTTCTTAACATCTTCACCGGGTAGTGGCCGTGGTGGATTCCTGGTACTTGCAGGCCTGGGCACAGGCGAAGGCATCGGCAAGGGATGGTGAGAAACACTGCTGGGCTGCGGAACAGACTGAGGCCTGGGCGGCGCCGATGGTGCTCTTGGAGCTCTTGGAGCCGGAGCCGGAGCCGGAGGGTCAGCTCTGGGTTGGGGAGCTTGTTGCTGGACAGGGGCAGCCGGAGAGTCGTCTTCCAGAACTGGAGCAGGCTCATCATTCTGAGGCTCAAATTCCGTTTGATTTTCGCCGGAAACTGGAAGAGGGACTTGAGGTTCCGCTGGGGCTCATTAGCTGTAAGTTCCGAGTTTGCATGCGGCGAGTAGTCATACCAGTTACAGGTGCCTGAGGCTTGGTCTGAGCAGTCTTGTTTGGGCGATGTTCAGTTGGCTTCGGCGCAGGCGGATTTGATATCTTCTCAGCTGGCGCTGTTAGCTTTGGTGCCGGCGGCTTTGTGACAGGCTGGCTTGGCTCCTTCTCGGCAGATGTCCCTGATGCTGTCCTTGTTACGGTTGGCCTCGGACCTGTTGGCTTGGATCTTGTCCGGACCTGGTTGCTTTGATGACTCTCGGCAGGCCTCGGAGCTGACGGCTGAGGAGCAGGCTGATTTGATTCTTTTTCTCTAGGTCTCGCAGCCGTTGGTTTGGGATCTGAACTAGCTGGTGTCTTCGAACTCGATAGCCTATGGGCAGATGGTGCATGCTGATTAGATCCTTTCCCCGCCGGTCTCGCAGGATTCGCTGCTCCTGGCTTTGAGCTCGATGACTTCGGCCCTGCTGGCTTATGGGAGGACGGTCTAGATGCAGGCCGACTATTTGAATATTTCTCATTTGTTTTTGCAGGAGCCGTCGTTGCTGGCTTCGAAGCTGCGGTCTTGGTAGGTTTTAATTTGTCCGAGCTATTATGGTGGCCTATCATCCTCAGCACTTGAGGCTTCAGTGCTGCTGCCCTATGTGCTGCCATTTGTTCCGGCGTAGGGGTTGCCTTCTGAACCTCTGTATCTGTTGCTGAGGCCTGCTTCTTTGAATTTGTCTTTGGTTTGCTGGATCCCGAAGTCTTGTGTTCACTCGACTTGCGCTTTTTCTTCTTCGATTCTTCTGGTTTTGGTACTTGAGACTCAGTTCTCTCTTTGTGCGGCACTCCTTCGCCATCCTCGTCATCCTCCTGCAAAGCTGATCTGGCGGGGTCAGCCTTTAAGTATTTTTCGACCTCTTTGATGTGAGGAAGAAGATCGTTGTTGAGCTTTGGGTTAAATCTCCGCAAGTCCTTTGCTTCGATCCAGTCGATGGCACTCCTGTTAGGAAAGTCTCGACCGTCAAAGTACATGACCGGAAACATGCGTTCGTGGACGAGAGTATTCCCAGTCTCGTAAAGTTTGGCCCATGTGTATTCTCCGGACACTTTATCATACTGGTAACAAGGCGGAAGGGAGTCTGCTAAGCCGCAGGTTTCGATAGATCCAGGAATTCCGATCTTGTCGAAACTGCCCATAGGGAGAATGAGGACAGCAAGCCATTCTTTGGTCTTGTCCCAGTACGTCAAATAGACCTTTCCGCATTTCGGGTTGATGATTCCCTTAAACTCATCAGCGCCTGTCAGGTCGTGATGTCGTTGACGTAGTCGAGTCTGGCGTCGTGTTGGCTCTGCTGTTGGTGCATCCTTTTGTGTCTCTCTGTTAGTAGAAGATGCTCGTTCTGACTTTTGGCGTTTGGCTTTCGTCATTGGACTCGAGAAGCTTCCCTTGCGCTTGGTCTGAAAAAGTTGGTAAGTAACATATCAAAGTTCGAGGTGAATCAGCTTACTCCTCCTGATCTGGTTTGTCGTGGTGATGGGGGAGCTTCATCAGGTTCAGAGAATTCGGGTTCAGATGCCTCTTCCTCCTCTTCTTCTGATTCGTCTTCGTCTTCGTCCTCGTCCTCATTTTCATCCTCCTCTTCATCATCAGACTCGTCTGCTTGTACCGTGATGGTTTCAGCAGCCGGAGTCGGTGATGGACTGAAGGTATATCTGGCATGACGAGCAGAAATATCTTCGCGAGCAGCAATGTCTCGGCTCGATGCCTTTGTGCGATTGCTGGGCTTTCGAGTCCTGCTTGCGATAGGTTCATCGTCAACGGGTTCTCTCTCGGCTGGTTCTGCCTCTGCAGCTTGCTCGTCATCAGGCTCTTCAGTACTATCCGCGCCAGCTTCCACCTCGGCGGACACCCTCTCCACGGGCTCTTCCTCTGCTGATTCCTCCACGGTTTCCCCCTCGGCGGTTTCTTCCTCCGCAGATTCCTCGTTGGCAGGTTCCGTCTCGAAAGGTTCGTCTTCTGTGGGATTTTCTGTAGGCTCTTCTGTAGGTTCTTCGTTGTAAGGTTCAGCCTCAACAGGTTCTTGCATCACGCTGTCCTCCTGGAGTAAGATGTCTTCCGTAGGTTCGTCATCATCAGCGCCGTCTTCCATTGTGCCATCCATCAGGTTATCGTCAAACATTGGTCCATCGTCCATCTCATCATCTGCAGGAACAGGGACGATAGGTGCCTGTCCCGGAAACTCTGGCTCCACGGGCGCGATCTCAACTCGATCAGTCCCAAGCCTCGTAGTGTCAGGCGTCATCTGAAATTGCGACTGTCCGCTGGACGTTCCCATGAGTTGAAAGAGGTGGTTGCGGAACGAGTCCATCGTTTGCAGAACCTTCTGCGCGTGAATTCTTTCATAGTGCTCAATGTTCGTCTTTTGGTCGATTTCCAGTTCCTTCTTCTGGCCGGCCAGCTCAATCAGATTGTCCTGAAGCCTGGATGTTTGGTCCGGCGGCGCCGATGGCAATTCGGACCATATTTGCGCGATGCGATCCTGAATCGATCTCAACTTCTCCTCGTAAAGCTCAGTTGGCGACTTGATTGACGCGAAAACCGAGTCATAGCGATAGACGACATCTTTGACATCTCGAAACTGTTGCAGAGGCTCCTGGCCTGCCATTTTGGCTGACTCCTCTGTCGGTCGCGCTATCGCATCAGCATGCTAAGAGTGCGTTAGGTCCTTGGTTAATGGTTTCTGTTTGCGCGCTTATCACCTGATGAGGCTCACAATGTGTTGTTGAGTGGGCGCAAAGAGAATGAGATTGTTGATGATTGACTTCGGTGTGCATCTGCTGCGGTGACGATTAGAGCTCGGGCCAGAAAATTGCAGGTAAGGGGGCTAGTGGCGTTCGGGACTTCTCATTGGGCCTGGTTGCTCAGCTGGAACAAAATGCATAGCTCTTAAAATGGAGCTCCAATCTCGGCAAGTAAAAAGCAAAACGATTTATTGATGCCTTGGGCAATATTGTCTTGATAACGCTCATCGTCGAGCAAAAACGCTTCAAAACATGGGGAAAACACTGAAAGCATTTAAATCTTGCGACAAGAGCTGAGTGCCCAAGAGTTCCCACGCGTTGCGGGGTATAAAAACACGAGACGAACCTGCAGCCTCATCCCAATTTCACCGTGGAAGACCCCGGGCTAGTTCGGGTCTCGATGAGACTAAGCAGGTTAGGAATAGATTAGCCCCTGAGCTAGGGGCGAAGCCCGGTTAGTAAGGTAAGCCGTGTTAAGATCCAACAGCCCCGCTTGTACATTACTTCTTGTTTTCTCACAGGTGCTGGTAGTCTCGAATACCCTATAGCAGACACAAATGCTACTATCACTCTATCTTCATATGATATTTAACTATAAAGGTCAGATGTATAGGAAGAAAATCTTTAAACGTGAAGAAATGTAATCGGGTTAGTATTTACATAGAATTTACGATAACTGTTATTTATAGATATATAATAAAACCTATGCTAAGAATGTCGTAGCTATCATTGGGCTATGAAAATCATGTTGGCCATAAGTTAAATGTTACGACCCTAGCGGTTACGTCACGTGTACCCCACAAAAACTCATGCAAGGCATCAACCCCTCA